TTTTAACACGACACCGTTAAGTACCGCAAATCACTCGCGTGTAGAATATCGTTGTAAACAATTTATCTCGCGTCGGTGTTATAATACCACGGGTGAGATTCTCGCGGTTATATTCTCGCGTCGGGGCGATTCGCGAAGATTCCAAGCGGACGACGACCGTGCGTAAATCAGGGGCGGCCAAAGTTGTTTTGGTAGCGATCTACTGAGTATACGTTTTTCCTTCGACGATCGGCTCCCATAAAAAAAAAAAAAATTAATTAATTAATAAACGCACACGTACAAGTAATAAAAAAAAATGCATACAATTAAATAATGTTTTTCGTCACAGTTTTATTACAAGACCAATAATATAATATTTACGACCGCTTCCCTGTTCTTCTCAATTTAGACTTGTCCGACCTAGCTGATACAGACGAATCGACGGTAACTTACGTTGCTTAAATAACCTTGTAAATGGCCCCCGTTAGAGCCGAATCTCAACATTTTAACACCCGGGGAAAACGAAAAAGTCCCGCCCGTTTCAGGGAAATTACCAATCAGTATTTTTTTTTTTTTTTTTTTTTTTTTTTTTTACGAAAAACCAAACACACTTACACTAATAGTGTTACCAACCAGTATTCGAAACTAAAATCTGTGGTCAATGTTTTCTAAATTTCAAGTTTAGAAAGAATAACAATTGGTAATAACAACACGTGTGAAGCATTCATTGACAAAGTATTCGATTCTTATTTTAACACGTAAAAACGTGTATAAAGTCGCCCAATGCCATCCAACGTTACTGCTAAATGTAGATATAGCTGATATTGTAGGGATTATTTTTTTTTATATTTTTACATTTTCAATTGTTGTTTTTACTGACCGATTCGTCGTCGCTCGACCCGAACCGCTGCGTGGTCTAGAAAATCGAAAGTTAGCACGGAAGTTTATTATATTTTGTACGACGGTAACATATAGGTAACTAACATACAGTAACTAACTATACAGTATAGAAATTATAAAGGATTTTTAGGAATTCCACCACCGACGACCGGCACTCACACATATACATTTTATTCATTAAAATACGGAAATTGCGATATTTTTGTTTACTTTTGGATTCCGTTGTTGATGCATATGGGAAGAAAACTGTACTACTCTCATTTGGTTTCATTTTTTAATTTGAGTGTCGTAAAATAATTCACGCACATACAGTTTGTCATTGCAAAGGTCCTTTACCTACAAACAATATAAAAGGTGCAATCCATTGAAAAAGGCCTTAACTATATTTGGTTTTTTTTTTTTTTTTTTTTTGATTTGAATTTGGAAAAGGTAATAATATTTTAGATATTATCGTTGTATGGATTTCATTTGGATTTGAGTTTTTTTTTTTTTTTCATTTTGTTACAATTACATTTGTTTTCACTAATTCTGACCAATATTTTATAATTTATCTAAAAAAAAAAAAAAAAATGTATATGTTACAATGAGACCATAGTTATGCAATTCAAAAAAAATTAAATTATTTTAACATTTCGCAGAAAATGTATGGGAATGTTAAATTGCATATGCTTGATCAGTTGGATTGGTGGCATCGCCGTAACGGATTACATTCGTCACACTTGAAGATCCGAGCAGCACGTTTGGCGGAAAAGTCATTCACAGACGGTGAAAAAATAAAAATAAACTTACGTCAATATTAGTTAAACCAATACATTCGACGGTGCTCGCATAATCTGAAAAAAAAAATAAATATAATTACATCTCTGTTCAAGCAAATATATAATTTTCGACGCGGCAATATTATTGCCTTTAAGTGAATACGGCACCTAACAGATAACTGTTCGCGATAACATGCCATTCAAATATTTATCAAACGTTCAAAATAGAACAGCGTAATTCCATTGAAAACGGTTCGGTGAAAACGCACTCGCGTGTCGTTGTTACTACTCGTCGTACACCGAACAATGTTTACGTTTTGCGCGGTAAATGACGGTTTTGTTTACGGAACGTACGGGACATAAATCAAAATCCGCGACAATAGTATCGTTATAATCAATAAAACACGCAGTGTATTTTTAGCGTTCGAAACAAACCGCGGTGAAACCGATGCGCGTTTCGCCGCGTTCAGAATTCGAAAACATTGTGGCGTGTTTGTTTGAAAAACCGCGAAGAGTTGACGTTTTGTTTAACATATTGCCTATTAACTATTGTTGTACATAGCCGTAAATAAACTATCGCGGTTCGCCATTAGAAATTGATTTAAATGCAAACGCATTTGCCCGGATGGCGAGGAAACGCGCCTGTGTACACCTCGTGTTTACTCCCCGCTTAAACGACAATACGATGCCAATGATCTGCAATAATTATTTGTTTTGCGTGCGGCATTCAAATCGAAACGTGCGTAACAGAATAATTGCCGTTGATCCGGTGTCACAAGATTTTTAATACCGATGAAAATCATACCTCATCGCCAGTACGATGATCCTAGGATAATCTTACCTCCAGCGCCATAATCCTAGGAAATATCTAACTCTTAAGACTATACAATGGAAATATGGCTTTTCTATGATAATCATACCCCTTACAGGTAGCGAAATCGCACAATAAATGCACATTTTTTTTTTTTTTTTGTATACTGTGTATAAAATGTCTCCTAGAAATCTTTCTCCGATCAAAACATAACAAGAGACCTTTTTTGTTTCAATTTTGGCTCATTTTTCGATTTGAACGACTATGTGAAGTGATGAGTGCAGGAGGGAGTTTGAACCCTTCAAATTCGCTCCTAAATATAATTTAGTGTTTAATTTGTATACTTAAATTGTAAACTTTCGATTGATTTATAGAAATAGAAAAACCAAACTTGATAGTTATTTTCAAGCATACTATTTGCAAGCCCTATCACATTTCCCTTGATTTGTATTCCTGCGTTCGCTCCTGGACTCGGGTGGTTTATAATTATTTTTCATCGTACATCGTTTGGTCGAATTTACTAGACAATATCAATGAGAAATTCGTTACACTCCAAAGCCCATATCTACTACAATCAGTGAACGAGTCGCTAAGTGTTTAGTAAATGTTATAATATTGTAGCTAAAATACATACCTATACCACAAATTCGTTGAGAGACACCGGTCATAAATCGACAGTAAACCATTTTGGTATGGTTATAATTCCATAACCGGTGAAGCGGACATAACGGTGAAGATATTCGTTTAACTTACATCTTTTATAGATGAATTACCCCCTCATATTGTTGCGAAATAATAAGAATTAATGAGAAGAGACTAATTTTTTTTTACGATAGACAACGATACAACGATAGTAACAACAATTTGAAGGGCTACGATAATAATGATAACATGTTTTAGACATGTTAACATGTCCAATGGTTTAAAGAGGAGAAATAATAATTCTGGAGGACATGATGAAAATCTTCGATCGTCGACGTCAATCCGAGATGATCACAACGTTTTGTGACCGTTTGTAACTGGTGTGACCGGTGAAACCAAAGTAATCCTCATCATTTTGTAACCGACCCCAAATTTTGAGGCGAAATAGCCGCCCGGTTACCCTCAACGAATTCGTGGATAGTAACACGGTTTATTATCATTGATAACGCTACTGGTAAGATCGGTACAAAGACTACTATAGTCATAGGTACCTAATACAACCTAATTACAGGACGAGAGGCCCAGAGAAACCATCGTATAAGTGGGTATTCGACATCAATCACCGCGAAATTAAATCTGCGCGTATTTCAAGCACGCGTCTTAACGTGTCTACATTTATACCCAGAAGAATGACTCGCCATCACGGACCGTGACGCGCGTTTAGATTTTAGGAAAACCGTATTTAGAAAAAAAAAAAAAAACATTACAATAAAGAGGCACATACGAGAAACGTGAACGATTTCGGTAATCGCCCGCAATAGTATTCGTTCACCCGATAGGAATGCGCATAACGTTGTGGAATGACGTGTGCCCGCGTGTAAAATAATTTGTAAACCGGACAGCGACCGCAAACGTATTTCGGTACAAATCGGAATTGAAATCCGATAACGCGTCGTTGCCCTTTGACGGGTACACAAATATCACTGCAGGCACCTACAATAATATAATGGAACACACGTATTGCAGACAACCGATAACGAGATGGCGCCGGGTTACAGATGAGAATTTCGAATTCGATTTGATCCATAACCTATGCGCATTATGATAATATTCTAATTCTGGAGAAACGAGAAAAACGTGCGTACCTGCACGCGCGATGTTTTTTTTTTTTTGTTATTATAACTAAATTGTTATACAAATTATAAACAAAAAAAAAAAAATCGTTTCAAAAACGATAACGTACACGTCCGGGAGTCAAAAGTCCATCGCGTGTCGTCCGTTAGGATGGTGTTCCGGACCGATTGGTTCCGATCGATACTATAGTAATATAATATTCCTACGACGATCAATCATAATGTTATTACACCGAGCGGAGTTCGAATGATAATGACCGAAAATGTCATCGAAATATGCTTTTAAAAAACGTCTATATATGCAATTATGCGTCTTAAAATATATTAAACAAATATATATGTAAAGACAGACTTTCTTTATTGAAAATTTGCCGCGCAATAGGAGCCATTATAAAAGAAGGATTTAGATTGAAATTAAAAAAATGCACGTTTGCATCTAAATCAGTTAAATACCTCGGACACATAATAGAAAATAATACAGTAAGACCAATTAAAGCCAACTTAGTTTCAATACACAATTGTCCAACCCCAACAACGCAAAAGAACATTAGACAATTTTTAGGCAAAATAAACTTTTATCACGAATACATTCCGAAAATCTCAACAATACCAGATCCACTACATAGATTGCTAAGAAAACACGTTAAATTTGACTGGTCGGAAGATTGTGAAGAATAATTTGTAGAAATAAAAAAACTACTGTGTAACCAACCAGTGCTAGAGATATTTGACAAAGATCTACACATTAAAATCTACACCGATGCTTCAATAGAAGGTATGGGTGCAATATTGAAACAGACACAACCAGATGCAAGAGAAAAACAAGTAGCGTATTTTTCAAAAAAATTGAATGAAACACAAAAAAGAAAAAAAGCTATATATTTAGAATGTCTAGCGATCAAAAAAGCGATAAGATAACGGGATCACTGGTTGATTGGAAGAAAATTTGATGTATACTCAGATCATAAACCTCTTGAAAACCTAAACATAACAGACGAAGAATTAGGTGATCTAACATACTATTTATCTCAATTTGATTTCAGTATTACATACATATTAGGAAAACTCAACACTGAAGCAGACAGTCTTAGCAGAAACCCGGTATTAGAAGCAATAGATAGTACTCAGGAAACATTAAAGATAGTTAATACAATAAAAATTCAAGAAATAAAAAAAGATCAAAATGAAAATATTACCCGAAAAGAACTTAAGGAAAAGACAATAGACAAACACGTTATAATTTATAAACAAAGTAAAAATAAAAAGAAGATAGTATTATCAGAAAAATTGAGTATTGAATTAATAAAAAATACACACAGAGATTGGTGTCATATTGGCATAAACCAAATGATTAATAGAATATGCCCATATTATACCTCAAAAAGATGAATAAAAAACATAAATAAAATATGCAAGACATGTGATATCTGTAAAAGAAATAAATCTATAGGTCAAGCAAAATATGGATTGATGTCTCAGTTAGGACCAGCAACAAAGCCGTTTGAGATAGTATCGATTGACACGATCGGCGGATTTGATGGTCGAAGATCAACGAAAAGATACCTCCATCTTTTGGTTGATCACTAAACAAGATACGCATATATATTAACGTCAAAAAATCAAGCTGCAAGTGATTTTATGAAAATAGTTCAAAATACATTAGAAATTAGCCAGATAGATACAATATTAACCGATCAATATCCAGGTCTCAACTCTAGAGAATTCAAAAATTATTACGCCAATGGGAGAAGTGGGGGGGAGCAATCAACCACTGATATAAGATAATAACATTATAATCATACAATATGAATACGTTATTAATATAGTTATTAATAAGTGGCACAATATTAAAATAAGGAAAGTGCGGTTCGCGGCTTTTAAACGTAATTTAAACGATTAACCATAATTCCGAATTATTCAATTTCAAAAGGCTCCGATAAGCTAATAAAAAATATTATAATTTTTAATTAGTTGGCAGGGCATTTTTAAATTACCTAAAGTATTTATATTTTAGTATCTATTTTTAGATTCTGTATACAACAAGGATTGCTTTAGTATAAAATCGTATTTCAATAATAAAAAAAAAAAACACAAGAGAGCTGTAATTTCGAATCTAGTTCGATAATAAGGTTATTTTTGTTATTTTTCTTGTAATTTTATTAACAACTGAGCAAAACCGGAACGAAACGTACGCAGAATAGAAAAAACAGTTTTATTAATTTTGATTTTGTTTTTCTGATGTCGTTAGGTTGAAGGCAAAAAGAGATCCTTCACTAGAAAATCGGAGCAAGGTGTCTGGTAGAAAAATTGTAAACAAGCAGTTAAAAGTAATGAATAAAAATAGCAAGCGGATTATAATAAAACCAATAAAATCTTTGATGCGTTTATCAGAATCAAAAAAAAAAAAAAAAAATTATCAGACTAGGGTCGCGACCGAAAATTGGACATCTACATTTTTGAAACTCCGTGCGCCGTTAATCGAATTCAAATCTCAATACAATATTAGAATAAAAGTCAAAAATAAAACAGTTATTGGCATCACTACGGTACGACACGGTTTGTTGTATCACCGTGGCATTTAAAACAGCCGAAAAATAAACAATATCTATTCGAGTCGTTCTTGTGTGTATTGATTATTAGTCATTGTGCGTTTAGATCCCGGTGTGTGCAGACGTCTTCATACTTTCGAAAAATTTATTGTAAGTATACGAATTTCCGTACCATCTTACGAGACTGCGCACATTATGGAAACCCCTAATGAAAATCAGACGTCGTCCAAGAACGTTAGCAGACGCTCGATAAAACGACGAAATAGACCAAAGAAATTATCTCAAACGCGAATACAACGTCCTCGTTCGGAAAAAGTAGTAACGGCCAGGATTGTCGGGTATAGTAACTCCGAAGCGATGTACGCGATCCACTATACTCCGTTCATGAACATCAAAACTATAGAACTATTGATGACGGTAATGAGACAGAAACTAAAGAACGTCATACGCAGAGAAGGCCGCATTTCCGAAATCACCGTGTACTTCTCTGAACGGATGATAGCCAAACTAAAAAACCGTCATAATCGGCTTCATTAAGATTTTCTGTTATTTTTCGTCACCTTTATTCTTGAGGGTAAAGCCACTATTTACTTTTAATTTTCGGATAGTGGCCTATATAAAAATATTTGGTTCAATAATATAGGTGCTATTTGAAAATCTATAGTAGGTAATGGTTTTATCCCCAAAAATAGAGGTGTCAAAAATAACATGGATTTCAAATTGGAGAGCCGTTTGTTTCTTAAGTGGTCTATTAAGCAAATTCTGAAGATGGTTAATACTTTCCGAAATAGTGAGTGTGCCGGTTTAGATGGAACACTCTGTACTTATATTTTCTCTTGTTTTCCGGAAAACCAATTTTTTTTATTGTTAACAATTGTATACTAAGTTTTTTGATTATACGTTCAAATAAAATGATATTATACATTTATATATGATTTCTTAAACGTGATGTATTTTAGTCTAACGATCACATTATGTCATTTATGTCGATTATATGGACTCGAGATTTATACATAAATTTGTTAGTGAATTTAATGTTTTAAAACGAAAACAAAAAACCAAACATAAAAGAAAAAGGCTAAGAAAATAGATATGAAGGAGACATTAATTAGGGATTTTCAATACCCTTAAGTTTGAACCCTGTGTTTATTACTCCAAAAGTTTTCATAACTCCCTACGGATAAATGAAGATTAAATTGATAGAAATTGAACAATTTTACATACACCAGTCACAATCAATTCGCGGTATTAGAATTAAAATTAACGCTTAGTCATAACAAACATAATACGATAACAGCCCGTGTTAGTTACTGTCTACTTATTTAGCACCGAGGTATTCATAACGGTTATAATACGAATCTATTTGTTTTGCTTGCGTTATCTTTCGTTTTTAATGATTATACCATAGTATCATGGTAGTCAAGAATGACGGAAGAATGATAGAAGGACGAAAATCTCATGTTATTGTTTTAATTAGGAAAAAAGTTGCAAAAAACACAACAAACAACACACAAACACAATATTTAAGATCAAAACTGGGAAATGAAATGAGGAAACAGGATTATTTCACATAACAAAGTTAATAACAGAATAGACAACAGTTGATAAAAATTCTCATAAGAATTTTCACGACGGGTGGGGGATACGTAATGAAAGACGTTCTTTATTTAAAATTTGCCGCGCTTCATGTATTACGCACGCCTTTTAATTAACCCCGCTAGGTGGAACAATAGATAAGATGACTAGCAAATTTTGATTACAGAATTGAATTTTTTATAATAATTTTTAGAATAATTGAGTAAAGCAAAGAGTGATAACAATAAACTTTAATTGTTGTTTCTTTTGGTTCACAGGTAATCTTGTAATTATTCGAATTATTGTACATAATCTATGTAAATAAAACTTAATTAAAACTTTTGTTTCACAGAGAAACTAAACTGATCATTATTATCAATAGAAAATATAACACCCCCATTATATATATATATTTATATTTCAACAAATATACCGTAAGAAAAAGATCGATTCAAAATAAACTATACTCTTTTTAATTGAGTATTCCACCAACTGGACAATGAGTGTTCCGCAAAAATAATATTCGATGTCAAAACGATTCGTAATCTCGTAATTTTTTAAAATGCGAAATTTTCCGATAAAACGTACGTTAACGGTAAATCGGGTACCCTTTTCATGCTGGAAATAAAACAAATACACAAACACACAATAGGAGTATAAAATGGACACGAAACGTAAACACGGAAGGACGACATGGCGTTTAGAAAACATACACCACGATAAATCTGGAAATAATCAATATTCCATATCGGGGATGGGCAACTGGCGACTGACGTACGTTTTAAAATTAATTAACAAATATCACATGTATAAACAATTAAATATAAAACGTAAACATAAATTGTAAATTTTAAATTTGACTGAACTTTCTTTTTGCTTTCTATATGTTCTCTGGCTCGCTAAATTTTAAAGTTCTAAAATATTGGCCCTATAATATCATTAAGTTGCCCATCCCATAGATATATAGAAAAAAGAAAATTTATATTATGTATGTATCGTTAAGCTCGAAGATTAAAAAAAAAAACGCGCATATTTTTGTCGTATTTTACATATTTTCTGTATAAATATATTAAAAATTTGTCTTGACAAATATAATATAACGTTATTCGATATTAACATATTATTTCCCGTCATCGTGTACACGTATAACATAATATCTAATCTATGGTGTAATAAATTGTCGTTCATAACGAAAATCCGTGATAAAAAAAAATCGCTTGAGACGGACGAATGCCTATTATGATAGTCCGTTACTCGTTACCGCATTCGGTAATCCACCAACAATCGTAAAGCGGACGCAATAGGCACCGTTCGTATTTCCGTGATATCATTGATTAAATTATATTACATTGCGTTGATTGCGTTTTTCGTATATTTTATAGTATGTCGATTGACAATTGATTGTATCATAACCAACGGTAATACATTGCAGGTAGTCCTAAGCGGTGTTTGGCAAAGATAATTAAAAAAAAACGTGTCTTGATAATGACAAAAGATAATTTAATACGATTTGTCTGGTTAAAAAAAAAAAAAAAAAATGAACGACAATTTTAATTTTAACAGTTTACCTATGTGCATTTTTATAAAATTTTTAAAATAAACAATTAGCAACGATGAAAAATGCTAATGTAATTATCACACCGTTATCTGGTGTTAATTTGTATATATCGGGTTTTTAATTCGTTTTCAAACTGAAAATGATTGAATTAAATATAAGTTTAATGGTAAAAAAAATTACCTGCAGATAGATAAATAGCATTTTAAAACTAGTAATTAAAAAAAAAAAAAACTATTTAAATAATTCAATTATAAATTGAATATAAAATCAGGATATGCAATTTTGTTTGTTATCTTAAAGTATTTATATCTAATTATGTTAATTAAAATGTTTAAACAATATTTATTTCGTATTCTACGTGAATATTCACAGAGTACACAAAACGCAACGAAAATGTTCTATCTTTCACTAACATTATACGAGTAATAATCAATTTTACACTACTCGTCCACACACACACACACAACAAGTAATCATTACAATAATTGAAATTCAAAGTGAAACCGATTTAAAGACTAATTTGATAAACAGTAAAAATCATTAAATTCCCGTAAGAGAAAAGCCAATGAATAAGGAAGTACAATTGGAAAATATCAGGGAAGAATAAAAAAAATAAAACCGTTGATCGTTTAACTTATGTGTAAAAAAAAAAAAAATAAATTGAACTGAAATACCACCATTCAGAGATTGTTGTGCGTCTGAGTAAACGCCATTTGCCTACAGACTATTATCAGATAAATATGCGCAAACTATTTGTACGTGTAATATTTAAAATTAAAATTTGTGTCCGTAACGCGTTTGAGCACGTGACCGTATTTTTTCCTGTAAACGTGGAACACGTTTGGGCATATAAACACATAACAGGTTTGAATACGCAAATTTAACAACGTTATATAAATATACAAAAATACTACACATCCGTCTTGCGAATTCAGGATTCATGATGTATTATCTCAATTAAAGGCGTTGCGAAACATTTATCGCCGATCGGTCCGAGAAAAATCGTTAAAAATATTAAATAATCGTATCGAAATGAAAGTGAATAATACGCGAAATTAAACGTGATGTAGCAAAACAAAAAAAAAAAAAAAAATGTTAATATATTTTCAAATAATTTTAAAACAATTACCAGCAATTAAACAGTATTCAAATATTTTTAGGGAGACTAACAAGAGCCAATCTCCTTGCGGTTTCTCCTAGGTAACGCTAATATAGGCTCTGAAATATTTTAGAATCGATAAAAAACAAGGAACAGACATACTTCGCACAACGGCCGGACCGCTGTTGTAGATGGGAAGTTAGAAAGGTAGGATATAGCGGGCGAATTTAATGTATATCTGTGAGTAAAGATTAATCATTCATAACGAAAAAGGATTTTGAACGGGACTCGGTTAAAAGTATTGTTTTTTAAACAACATATGTATACATATTGAAATAATTTGTATGGACCAGTAACTAGAATTGTTCTACATAATTTTTTTACTAAAACGGTTTTCGTCAAAATTTGCTATTGAAATTCTCATAAAAAAAAATATAATACATTCAATTCATTTTTTTTTTTTTTTTTTTTGTTTCAACCACAAAGTATGACTTATGATAATCAACCACTTGACAAGAGTTCAATTCTCAAGCCTTTCTGTTTAGTCTGAAAATTGTATCCGCATAGTAGGTACCCATCAAATAAAAATTACTCACAAAATAAAAATTTCTACAAATATAGCTAAACTGTTTTTACAATTTTACCGCGTCTAGAAATGGCAAATATAAGTTTTTTCTTCACACTTCAAGTCTCTACGAATATTTTTAGAAAAAACAACAAAAAGCATTATTTGCGTGAGTTTCGCGTCTTTCTTACGTTTCGTCCCGGGTTTTCCATATTATAAGAACCGCGTGGAAAATCAAAAAAATGACTCCCTTAAAGTACTATTCAGACAATATCTCCTTTCAGAAACGGTGTCACACGTACATACCGGAACAAGATTTACGGTCGAATTTTTGTACGCAGGATAAATAAAAATAAACATCTTCGTAAAACCAATACATTCTGTGTGTTGCACTCAGAATCTAGTAAAAAAACAATAATAATAATGATACAATATTGTAATATTATACGACAATGTATTGGACGTACAGTACGACTTTACTGTCCAAGGTCTGTTCGGAAAAACGTCTTTTTTCTCCTTTTTTTATATTTTTTTTTTCTTTTTTGTTCGGCGCGCGTGCGGAGCAACAAAGTCGCGGCGTTCGTGATTTATGCCGAACGTAAAAATAATAAAACGACGTTTTACATTTTATTAATGTTGTTATTATTGTTATTATTATTTTTTTTTTTTTTACCCGCGGTATACGATTATAATAATATCATTATTATTACCGTGTATATATTATTATACTTGCGCCGTAT